TCTCTCTCTCTCTCTCTTTCCAATTGATCATTCTTTTCTATTTATGGGTTTAAGATACGAAAAGAGGTTCCATTTATTTCAGAGATATTTTTTTCTTTTCAGCGATCCATATATTGTATAATTATCATATCAAAAGAGAAGAATATATATATATATATTTCAAAATTTGTAATGTTAATCAGCGTCAAAGTAATTATTTCTTTCTTGACATTTTCTAAAACAAGAAGAGAAGTCATAAACCGTGTTAGGCTAGTAACGAGAACGACTTTACTCTTGCATATAGCGTGTGCTGGATAAAGAACAATGAAAAACGAGAAATAGAAAAGATAAGGGTCGCAGAAGAAGAAGAAGAAGAAGAAGAAGAAAAATAAAGCTTGTTGGTTCGTGAGTAGCTTTTCCAAGAGCTTTTTTCTTAGCTTTCGTATCTCGCTCGAAAGAGCAATTAGTTGGCTAATAGATCTCTTAGGATCTTTCGACAGTTCTCGAGAACGTTTTCGACACCTTCAATGAGAAGATAAAGATGTGTTTACCGAATAAAACCTATCGATATCTATTTATCCAATAAAGACTAATTCAAAGATTAATCTATTTTATATATTAATTTAATAGCACAGTTATCAAAATTATTTGATTGAATTATTTTATTTTCAAAAGATATGAATTAAAGGAATTTAGAGACAATATGCATGCAACTTTTGCAATGATTGTGTTCGGTGTATTCTTGAATTTATTCTTCCGTAAAGGTAGAAAGAACGCCTTTGCAGCTTTTTTTCAGCCTTTTTTCAGCCTTTTTTCAGCCTTTTTTCAGCCATTGCCGTACACGTGGAAGAGTTACGAGGTTCATTTTTCGACGTGCCCGTTTCCAAGCGAAGTGTCGCATTGTTCGCTATTCTCATTGCAGCATTTCGCGTTATCGGAGAATGGGAGGAAAGAGAGAACAAACAAGAGAAAAGTGGATAGAAGAAAAATTTTAAGAAAATTACATCGGACTTGTAGACGTTATCTGTGATATTCTTTGTTTTACAGTACCACCTCTTAAAGCTCTTAACAGAATCAACGAAGAAATGTTACTACACTATACTACTATATATTAGTATATATTGATTTGATTCTATGGTAGCATTGTTATTTTCAGTTAAGCGATGGCACCGTGTCGGAAGCACCCAGGAGAGTTGCGATAGAAGGTGGTCCAGGAAGTGGAAGAACAACGCTGTGCTTACGTTTACTTTATCAATGGGCAATTCAAGCCGAAGGTCCAGCTTTGGCGTTTATCGTACCGCTTCGAGAACTTCGTGGCAGTCCACTTTTAACTTATTTGGCACGAGAACTTTTACCAAGGACAGCAGCTCTCGGAGATGCCGTAAATCAAGTTTGGCGTACGTTACATCTGATGGAAGACCGAGTGCTCTTCGTATTGGACGGTTACGACGAATGCGTAGGAGGAAGAGCGTCTCTGGGAGATGCGGCAGATCTCTTGGAAGGCCGATTATTTCCAGAAGCAAGAATACTCGTCACTTGTTCGCCTATCAATACAGCTACTTTATCGCCATTGGTACAAAGAAGAATTCATTTGGCTGGTCTAGAATGGCCACACGTCGAAAGACTCTGCGTTGCTTATTTCATTCACAACAATATGGCAGGCAGAGCTTGTGAATTTTTAGAAGCTTTGAACGTTCAACCCCAACCTGTCAAACAATTAGGTCAACATCCACTTGGTTGGATCATGCTTTGCTGTCTTTACCAGGTTAGATTCCTTTTACTCGTTAGATTCCTTCTAACGTATATAACAAGTTTCTATTGACATTTGATTATAGGATTCAGGAAGTTTACCGAGAGAAACGAGCGCTCTCATGCATGCCGCGATTAAATGTATCGTAAAAAGAAGCCTCGAGCCAGCTATTCCCTACGAAGAAGAGATTCCAGGACATTGTAGAAAACGTTTAGAAGAGTTTGGCAAGGTATCTCTTGCAGCATTAAGGGAAGGAAGGTGTTGCTATACCGAAGCTGAAATAAGAGCACGTGGTGGTGGGATCGAAGTTACCAGGCTAGGCTTTCTTACTAAAGGATTGACCCTTGGCCAAAGACGTAAACCGGATCTCTTCACTCCTATTCACGTAGCCGTGGCCGAGTTCCTTGCAGCTTATTACCTCACCTCGGTCGCTCAATACGCGAACATCCTACGAAGAGAACTCGAGGGTCTGCCATCGGGTATTATAGGACATCTCGCTGGTCTTTTAGGGCCGAAGACACACCTCATTCTTAATCAGCTTTGTCCTTTAGAAGTACCACCTAGATCGGTATTTTCTTTATTGAAAGCAGCTGGTGCATCGGATGGTAACGTTTCAGCCGTTTGTCGATTAGTTGGTGCAGGTTCTGGTTTCGGACCAGCCCCTAATGAAAAACCATCAGCACCTTTGGTACACACTTCACCTTTAGAACTAGAAGGTTGGTCCAAAATACTCCAAAGCTCGGCTTGTACCCTCGAGGCTCTCGAATTGGTCTTCCAATTGGAAAGAGGATTCGACACGAGGTATCTCGACGAATTCTTCGATGCTTTAGCTACTAACGAGAGTGTTAAACTCGTTAGGATTACTTCGCTCCTTGGCCAAGAATTTCCGGCTGACGAGGCATTAAGGCTGGCTGGACATTTAAATAGTGTGCTCGGAAAGAAGAAACTCAATGACTTCGAGTTGGTTATCACTTGCCTTGAAGAATCTGCGCATGACAAGTGAGTTTTATTTATTAATACAATTACACAATATTTTAGAATATATTTCAAAAAGACAAGTTATAGGAAAAAATAAAAGAAAGATTTGGCAAGAGAAAGAAGTTGCGATATATTATTTTCAGTAGGTATTCGCGTTTCAGAGGCAAACGGAAGTCACTAGTTCTCCCTTTTAGCATTTTCCTTGCAGTACCAACCCCTGTAAGTAGTTCCGGACCCACTTACCGATTCTCTCGGATTTGCGAAAAGGAAAATCAAGAAAGAGGAGAAGACAAACGAAAAGGAGAGAATTCGTGACGATGATTAAGGAGAGAATGAAATAGAAATGGAGAAATGAAAAAGAAAGAATTGTTGAAAGTGGAAAAGCTTGAAGAAAAAAGAAGAGATACCATGGTTAAAGATCGGTCCCTCTCTTTCTCTCTCTCACTTTTTCTTTCTTACATTAGAATGAAAAACGTCCGACGTGCCTCTTAATTTTCCGCCATCACCGCCAGCAACCAGCATAAAATAAAAGATTCTCTCTCTCTTTTTTTTTTTATTCTTATGAGGCAGATTTCTTCGCTCGCTTTAATCTCTTTGTCACTTCTTATATATCATCTTGTCTCTCTAGATTTCCTTATTTTTCTCTCACCATGACTCGAAAATCATTTCAATTGTATCATTTGTAATTGTTACACAAGTGTTATATATTATAAGTGTTATGTCCCATTCTATTTTGTTAATAATTAATATATCATTTGTATTTATTAATTAGAGAAATATTAATTAGAAAAATGTGTTGTTTTGAAATTGTAGATTAGAATGTGTGGTGAACGTGTTATGTCGCGGCCTAAGTCATGCTTCTAATAGCTTGGCACGTTTGGTCCTCGACATGAATCTGTCCGGAGAACAAGTATCACGGATCTGCGATGCACTTCGCGGCTGCGTTCAAGTACAGGCACTGCACTTGCCCCATTTGGGTTGTGGCTCAGAGGGTCTCGCCTCCGTTGCTGAGTTGCTCAAGGAGAGACCTCTTCTTGCTCTCAATCTAGCCGGAAGTTGGGGCTCTAAGAACGAAGATCCTTCTAGTTCGGGGATCAGTATGGGTAAAAACATATAATTAATATATAATAATAATTCTTTTTTACTTTATGATAATTTGTTAAATTTATTATGACGGAAACTCGATTTTAAACTATACAAAAAACTGTAGTTAATGCTAATTATTCTAACGAAGATTACGTCTATTACTCGACATATTATAAACTTTAACTCAATAACTATCAACTTGGAATTACAGAAATTTAGATTTGAAATTGCTTAGAGGATCGATGACACCAGTTTAAAGTCCGATATGTGCATATATATATATAGGGTGTTCCAAAACAAATCCACTGAATATTTATACAGCATATAGAAGTGTTTTTCCTTTAATTTCTTTTTTTTTCTCAGAAACGATCGAGTATTGGGTCTTATTGCTTGCACAATCTATAGAATTCTTTTTACTCACAATCTGTATAGTGTGTTCTATATACGAATGTGTTTTTTGGAACACCCTTTATGTGTGTGTGTGCATGTGTGCGTGTAATATATATACATAGAAACTCCCCGCTGGCATTTTACTTGGTAGCGGATACTTAGAGAACTTGAAAGTTTAACCCTTTTGAACTTTAAGCTGTGGATAGTAGTAATAGGGAACGATGGTGATAGTGGTAGAACCATTTGCTTCTAGCTTCGAAGCAAATTCTGATCGTGAAACACCGATGTGAAAAGTGCTTCTAGATACGAACGAGAATAACCCGTAGGAAATTATAATCCAAAGAAAAACGTTCGCTCAGTTTTCTCTCGTTCTTTTTCTTAGACTTCCAAACGATCGGAAAAGTAATTAACGGATTAAAATGATTATTGAATTATCGTTATATAGTCTTAGTTTTACAATAGTAGAAAAAAATGGTCTCGTCTCGTATTATAGAGCGAATATTGCAAAATTTACCACCGCCAAGATAATTTTCAATACAAATATAATTACGCTTACTAGGAATTTTTTTTCTAACGATAGGATCTTTTATGATATCACAGTTAAACAAATAATGAAATTGTTGAATAATTTATTCTACTTCCTTAATGCTGTGATCGAACAACTAAATAGAATTTTTGGGTGGGACTAAATTGAAATATCCAAATTTCATTCGTCAGTGATTCAAATAGGAGGACACCTCCCTTAAGGGTTCGTTTAATATAGAACGCTCGAAAACAAAGCGAAAGAGACTTATCAGGGAAAAGAAAGAGAGATCGATAAATAGAACACGGGTTAGCGTCCAACATAATTTCCGCTTACGAAGCAACCTATTAATCATTTCTCTGAGAAATGCTGCTCTTTCTTTCTTTGTCTGTCTCTTTTCATTAGCTTTTCTCATCGTTACATCCAGTGAAATATCTCTTATCTCTTATCTGTGGACAAACGAGAGAGTTTGTCATTTTTGATCCTATAGTATTATCAAATATAATATGCATACTATACATTCATTCGTTAAGAACGTAAGAAGAAATTTGTTAGAGAAAGAAAATAAATGTTCAAATATATTATTATTTGAAATCAATAGAAGGATATTAAAATATAGAAAATAATGTAACTAAAAAGTTACTTTTATTATTTTTCGATAGCAATAATTGAGTTTGTTCTCTGTAAAAAGATATATGAAAAGAAGACAAAGTGAAATTGAATATGAATATTGAATTGAAAAGTTAGCATCCATAGCGTCCACCTACGGTAGTTGATGTATAATTCACTCACCATCAGTGAAACTATTTTCCTTTGGGATCTTTGTCGTTAATTAATCGAATCAATTCGGATAACTCGGGTGAAAAGGTAACGGTTCGTATCGTTGATTGCAAGAGTTTAAATCGTTTCACCACTCTCGATACACTTTCCATCAAGCGGCCCGACTCGGCCCGGCGAAGGTACTTTCTTTCAACTCCCCCAGCTATCTTTTTTTCTACACGCTTTATTACTTTCCTGCCTTACGCTCCATTAACAAATATGAAACGTAAATTGGCTGACCAAGCGTAAACCTTTTCTATATTCCTTTCATCAAAGAGAATAAGAAAGAAAAAGAAAAACCAGACAAATGGATTGTTTCTTTTTTTGTCTCTTTCTTTCTTCATCTATCTATCCATCTCTTTCTATTTCTATCTCTTTCTTTTGGCACTTCAAGAAAATAGGTCAACGTTCATCTGAATTTATCGAGATACCTCAGAACCGTAATATAAATTATATTTCTCTCATCTTAAATCTTTTGGTAAACTTAGCCGTTGGGAAAATTGTAAGAGCATAAAAATCTTCCGCTCTTCTATAATAATATTCACGTTTTGCCAACGCTAATAAAACTACTCATTATTCCTATCTCGCTCTAAAGTTTACCAAAGAAAAAACTTTTTTTAAGTTTTTATTAAGCTCCAACGAAAGAATTGAATTATTCGATATCTTTGAACAATTATCAAAATGAATACTTCATAAGAAATAGAAAGTGCTTTTTTCTTATTGTTTTTTTCATGATAAATATGAGAAAAATATAAATTGAATTGTTGGTTTCGTGTAGGTTCAGGTTCTGGATCCGGTAGTAGTGGATACGCCTCAAGCATCCTCGGCACTCTCCCCTTAAATCGTTGCTACTCTTCTTTACCTCGTGGTGCTTTGGCAGCTTATGGAAGTTTAACTAGGCCAGCAACCTTACCACGATTACCTTTTGGATTGGGTCTCGGCCTTGGTCTTGGTCCAACGACCGCTCATGGACATGGATACAATACTGGTAGTACTACCGGACCTACCGGACCTACCGGTTCAACTACTACTGTCCCTGCTACTTCAACGGGAAACGAAAATGCCAGTGCTACCGGAACCAGTGCACCACCTTTACCGCAAAATGATAGCAATGGAAGTAGCAAGCGAAATAGCGACAGCGTACTTTGTCATAGACCACCTCTTATGCATCCATTACCTACTTGTGACGTTAGCAATCATCAGGGTACCGGATTTCATGAAATCTTCAATGCTATTAGGTAAAGTTTCAAATGTAGTTCTACTAATCTATGTAAATTCAATTAGAGGAATTCTAATACTCCTCGCGATCAAGAAATCAGTGCATACAAGACATTAATACAAACAAAATTAATACAACAAAAATGTTAACTACCGAAAAGTTAGAGTACTCGAGTAAAATATGATGTCCGATATTGTTCATTTATTCGGGTAAGGTATCTTACCGAGTAGTCGACAGGTCTGATATTAATTAAGTTATTATATTCAAGTTTTATGAATTCTAATTCAAAGTAAACAAAATGATAGAGTAATGCACTTTATAGAAAAAATATCTAATTATAAATTATACAGCACTGTGTTTGAACGAGCTCGATGTAGAAAGACTTGCATTTTCAATGTTACGTACACATAGTTAACTTGGAAAGTAAAAAAACTTTGAATCTAGAATTTTACTCGTTGACGATAAAAAAAAATACTGTAGGAGCATGAATGAACCAGAGCAGGGATAAATGAGTTATGGAAATTTAGTGTAAGAGACGATGGAGAATGGCTACCGAAGAAATTAAAGGAACTTTCATGGAAGAAAGTTTGATGCTTATACTTTTACTCGAGGAGGAGAGATGCGTTGTGTGAAGCAAGGTCGCTAACTTTGTACGCGTTCTTCGTCCTTCTCTCGAAACTAGAAAGATATCGGGAAGCTTCGATTATAACGAAACTTTCGTCATCGAACTTTTACTCGCTCGCTCTCTAATTCGTGAATTCAAAGTTTAACCGATTCAACGTCAAACTGACGTCCTAAGGATTTTACAACATTTCTCTGCAACTAAATCAATTTATTTATTTATTTTTAATATTCATTTATCTTAATTTGATAAAACAAAGTTCGCAAATTGTAGGAAGTCAAGTTTTATAATTAAGTGCAAACATTTAATAACAAAATAGAGGAAAGTGGACATTTATCAATAAATAAATAAAAAAAATAAATAAATCATTTAACGCTATTAAATTAGAACAAAATTTTGTTATCGTCATTTGACTATCAAACGAATCTCGAGTATGATTCATTTATAATTACAAATCGTACAATATGTTTTTAATTAAAAACGAGTACCAGCTGGACTCGACTATTTTACTTCCCATTTTACTCTACCTCCATCCTTTTTTCTCAGGCCCATTCACTTTCGTCTGTCCCGATGAGAATAAATTGAATCTTTCAGGAAGAAGAAAAGAAAATAAAAAGAGGAAGAAAATGTTCACGAGGTTATTTCAACCTGCTGGCTTTACACGTACTTTACATTCCATGCGTTCGCGTCTTTCATTAGTTTTCTCCTTTATCTCCTCTCCTCATCTTTCCTCCCCTTCTTTCGTTTTCCTTCCATCATTTTTATTATCATTGATATGTCGATAGCACACGATTTAATTATTTTGTTCTTATTAAAACATTTGTTTGTTTGTTCAATTTCATACATATTATTTTTATACTTATATATTTATTTTATAAATATTACATTCGTATTCATTTATTTATAATAGAAATAATATATGAGCGTATGTGTGTAGCTCCTTCGATTTTTACAGCCGATTGGTGTTAATGAGATAAAAATGATTATACGGATCATTGATCGTGACTAAGGTTAACTGGAAAATATCAAAAGCTGCGGTTACTTTTATCGACGATATCCGATTATATTTGATCCAGCTAACGTAACAAAAAAATCACTAATCAATTTATCATAAATTGTCAAAGAAGTAGATATACTAATTAAAGAAATAATTGATTGTGTTTACAGAGAGCCCAGCTGTAAGCTGAGATCATTGAACGTGTCTAAATGTCTTTTGGGCGGCTTAGATGCTGGCTGTTTAGGAGAAACTATAAGAAAAGCACGACATTTGAATGCTCTTAGAGCTGCTGGTGCTTCAAAACCAGCTGATGTTATGCCGCTCGTCTTGGCCTTGACAGAGGCACCCTGTCTTCAACTTCTTGATCTAGCCAGTCCAAGACTAGCCCTCGATGATCATCCATCTAGACTTCTCTGCCAAGCACTCGCTAGGAATACAACTTTAAGGCTTCTCAGTCTCGAAGGTTGGACCTTCAGAATAGAAGTAAGTTTGACCACAACTCGAACTAAACAGTTAAACGGCTCACGATTTCTTTTTTTTTTACAATGACAATTGTTATTTTTGTGCATATAGGAATCTGAAACGCTAGCGGTATTCTCAGAGTTACTGAGATATACGAACGTGAGGGAATTAAGTCTATGTAATGCTCGCCTCCACCTGGCGGTCCACGAAGGTCCTCTCGCGAGATTAGGACGTCGTGACGATGCTGGTGCTGAGTTACTACGAGCTGCACCCCCTCCAGCTTGTCCTGCTATCGTCTTTCTCAGACTGGCTGGATTCCAGGTTGGTTATACATATATTACTGTAAAACCATGAAAAACTATCCACATAAATAACTCGTTCGTGATTGTAGGTGACAGTAAACGATCGACTGGCATTACGCGGACCTCTATTACTTCCATTCTTAGCAGGCTTCACCGGTTTAAGCGAGCTTGACCTATCATTAGACAAATCAGCCATAGGTGGTAGCAGTGGATCCTTATTGTTCATCGATGATAAAATACTTCAACAATTTTTTGCTTGTCTCTCTTCTCACTTCCGTAATTTACAATCATTACGAATCAATTTCTGGCGTATCAGTTTAGAAGATAGCGAAAGGACAATGCGTCAAATAGCAAAATATATCAAAGTTTGTAATCTAAGTTTTCTCAAAATGAATGGATTGATCGTCACTGACAGCGCTAAAAAAACACAAATGGAACATGTCTTTATTCAAACGATTATTATGAATCTTCAGTATCTTACTTGGCTTTGTTTAGATGGTATCGAAATGACAGAGAAACAAGCATCGAGCATTGGTAAATGTACGAGAGATCGTTATACAGGCAGTTGTTTTGAGATTAGTGCTAAAGACGTTAATGTAAAATCGGTCAAAGCTTTCGTAGCAGCCATCGAAGAAGGTGGCAGAGCTGAAGTTGTTTATACCGGTGGTTCCAATTGTAGATTGAAAATTACTATGTTACAGAAGAGTGGTAAAAACAAAAAGAAATGAATACAATAAATAAATAAAAAGGAACAAGAGTCAGAATTTTCAATGAAAAATTAAATATAAACAGGTTGAATCCTGTCCAAGTAGAAACGTTCCTAGTAAGGCATATTAAAGAAAGAAAGCTACTATTAATAGAATAGAAGAAAATCGAAAACAAGTTGATGAAGAATTAACAAAGAAAATATATATACATATTGATTTTTAAGTTTTTATTTTTAGCAAACAGTTTTTTAGATTTTCATTTATTTAAATAAATAGTACAGAGGAGATAAAAATTGGGACCAGAATCTCCAGGTCCTCTATAAAATGAATGCTGCTGATGATGACTATGTGATGGCATTTATTTCCTTAAATTATTCCAAAATTAATTGTTTTATAAATAAAATAAAATAAATAAAGTAGAATTTTTTGAGAAAAAGAAGAAAGAAAGAAATAAACAACTGACTCAATATGGCTTGATTAACTATCTAGAGAACATTTTTATTTTGTTATGTCTATTTCTTGTCGGAAATCGTAGCTACTAATCATAGCAAGACCAAGATTAATAATAATACATGCGTCTTATTTTCTCGATTGGAAGTTTTATTTAAAAAGAGGCTGTTACGACTGCGATAATTATTACGTTCATCATTGTTAGATGGATTGTATAATAAGATACGACTCAGAGTAATATATTATATTATTATCATTAGTATATTATATCGTCGATATTATTAAATGTTGTATATGGAAGTTATGATTGAAAATTAAGAAAAAATAAGTAAAAAGAAAAGAAAATAAAGAAATAAAAGAAAAGAGGAAAAAAAAAGAGATTAAAAAAAAACAAGTTTAAGGCAAGTGACATATTGTTGGAATTTTAGAGAAATTTTATATTATAAATTTTAACCCTAATAAATCCAAGATAGATATGAGAGAGAGAGAAAGATAGAAAGAAAGAGAGAGAGAGAGAGAGAAAATCAAAAAGTCGATAAATTGTAATTTTATGAGATATATATATATATATATACACGACGATTCGTCTGTATGTACAGTTACAAGAATACCGTTCGAAGAAGAAACTGCCAAATCACGTCATAGAATTAACGCGTAGTTAATAATTATACCTTGTTGTATTTCTGAGATATTTCAGAACACTAACATGAGATTAATAATTCTCGATATTTGGCTTAAGTATTCAATCATTTGTGTACCAAACGCACAAACCATACTGCCATAGAACCGAAACTATTAAAAACAAATTGTATTAGAAAAAAGATCAAGAAACATTAATGTGGAAAAAGAGAAAATGATTTAACGTAATTTATAATTATTTTTGATTTAGCTTCGTCAGATTTTATATTCTATATATGTTCCTTCTCACATTTTAATATCCGAGTGATTTTATAACGGTAGATCTTTTATTTTTTATTTATCCTTAAACACATATTAACGCATATGATCCTTATTATTCTATATCATATAGATAGAGAACAATTTTTCTATTATCTGCCACGTACAAAATACCATTAATAATCATAACGTTAAGAAAATTCCTTTTGAAATATTGCATGTTATATTTGTGGGCCTACTTTACACAAAGAAAGAAAGAAAGAAAAAAAGAGTGAAAGACAGAGAAAAAAAAAGAAACTAATTAAATATGTAATCGTTTGAACGAGATCTACTTTACCCTCGATACCGTCGGTATCGTCAGTAAAATCGTTACCATACACTCCTCGTTATCGTCTGTGAAGATTATTTAATATAGATTTAACGCGCTATCGAAACTTCAACGTGTGAAATCAACTTGAAGTAATTTTATTATAAACCTTTATGTATTTATATGTGTATACATATCCTTTAAAATAAATGTAATATGTATTTAAGATTATATCTACGCTTTTATCACATACACACACACACACACACACACACACACACATACACATACACATATTAAATATATATATGTCTTAACATACATACATTACTCTGCACATTAAATTTTCAAAAAGGGTAAAAAGGATTTTAAAACTTTGTTAATAGTATTTTTGATTACTTTAATCTTTTTCTTCTCTTCGTTCTTTGTTTTATTATTTCTTTTTTTTACATATCTTTCTTACATATTATATATTAAGATTTTAAAAATATAACAATATAAGACTTCTGGTTGGAAATTATTATGACGGTGCAATGCCTCATATAATTTTCATCAAGCTTAATAAAAATGACAAATACACATTCCTTTTTATTATTTATCATAACAATTGTTATATATACAAAGTAGACTCTATATAAATGGATATACCTAAATATCTTCCTTATTTATGGCCCTATAAAAAACTTCACAGGATGAGGTTGCACTATTTTAAGGGTCAAATGTAATGGTAAATAACAAATCTTTTTAGGTCATTTTGTTAATGAGATTTCAAGGTCATCGGTATTTTTTTTTTTTTTTAATGGAACTATATATTTCTTTGCGACATTTTTGTAGAACATGACCAAACGGATAAAAATGATCTTCATGACTATATATCATTCGGATCATTTCTTTTCGAGATATTTAAATCTCATATCACTACGTTACATATATGTATATGTATATATATTTTAATTATTGCAAAGTAAAAATCATTTCTTAAAAAGTTAATGAATTTCACGCTAGTATCGTTGATTAGATTTTTAGCAGGAAAAATTAATTAATGTAACTTTCATTAATGATAGATCTACGTCATGGAATGTATATATTTTATTTTTTTTTTTCGTTTTCCTATTATAAATTGCATATTTAATTGAAAAATCTTTTATAATCGTAGAATTACATAATTATTAGTAGTTATCTGTGTTTAGTTCATTGTCCATTAATAATACTGCATCATATCTGCATATATGCGTATGAAACATAATGTTTTAATTAAATCTATCGATAAAGAAAGTTAGTTACAAAACAAGTCAATTATACATACATACATTTTGTTGTTAAATATAGAAATATAATAAATGATGGATGTTTCTTATACATAAAAGATTTTTGTTCAAAATTATACAATTCTATTGATTTTAATATGATTATAAATAATTACATTAAACTGAAGATTTGTGAAGTTATTTTACAATATTAAAGTGATAATTTATAATGAAATAACAGTTCTATTACAAAATAAGTTTATTTTATATAAATCGTATTACGTATAAATGACTTTAATGAAACATTTAAAATCTTCTATTTTTGTTTATTCTTATAGTTGATAGCGTATCAGCTATAATAACTAAGACGGTCTGAAAATGAACATATCTAAATAAATATATAAAAATGAAAATTTAATTATTACATTAAATATTTGAAAATGATAATCCTCTATCTATAAATTTTCTCTAATCAATAGATATAGATTACTAGAACATTATATTTTTACCATAGGAAAATCTAAAGAAATATCTATACGTATTGATTCAAAAGCATAAAAGTTAGAAGTTTATCAACATATATTTAAATGCAACATTATTTGAATTTATATACTTTCTATAAAACGCCATACTCAAAATATTAGAAAACAATAGTTCAGAGCTTAGGACTGAAAGGTCCTATACTGATAGCTCCAATGGCTGACAATTTTCAAATGATATATATTTATAATTTTAAAATAATTTGTAACTGTAATTGATATTCGCCTCTATTTAAAACTAAACAACCGCACAGACTCAAAATCGCAAAAATAATTTGCGTAAATGCTGTATTTCTTGCGCCTTTTTGACAAACTCCATAAATGAATACACTTCTGGAGCATTTATAAGAACACTTTACGACACATATATTTCTAATAGATCACATGGGTGCATAATCCAATTGCACCGTTAGTTGCCTCACACCGGCTGCTTGAAAAATCATTTGAGTATGCGCAACCACATACTTTGGATCTACAGTTCGTGCTACTTCCAGTTTTATACAACCAACATAAACATCAGAACAAAGTGTCCAGAAATGTGGTTCTTGTACACTATAAACTCCAGCCAATTGGGTCACTTTATTGTAGCATTGTGGTAAAACATGATCCAAAGCTGGAGGTTGTCTTTGCATAAGAATCTCCCAAGATTCTTTCATTAATGAGAGTACACTTAACACTATCAATATTGCAATGACCATGGAACAAATAGGATCAGCTATCATCCAACCAAACATTTGCATTAAGATAGCTGATATAATTACTCCTACAGATCCCAAAGTATCTGCTAGTATGTGTAGAAAAACTCCTTTCATAATTTGAGAATTATTACTACTAAATGTTGCATCTATTTCAATATCATGATGATTGTGACTATGATTATGATTCAAATGAGAATGGTCATGCCCGCTACTATGAGAATGCGAATGACCATGACCACCATGGCCGTGTCCATGTCCATGTTGAAATGCATAGATTCCTATTAAATTCACTAAGAGTCCCATCACAGAAACAGCAAAGAGTCTTTCGTGTTTTATCTCAGGTGGCTCGATAGCTCTTTCGACAGCTTCAGACATTATAAAGAGCGCAACGAACAATAATAGTAATCCATTAACAAATCCACCCAATACTTCTGCACGTACATAACCATATGAGTATCGGTCATTGGCTCTCCATTTTGTAATAACTGATGCTGCCAAACCAAATAACAAACCAGTACAATCAAAAAACATATGAAAACTATCTGAGATTAGGCCCAAACTGTTTGTCCATATTCCATATGATAATTCAACGAAAGCAAAAGATAAATTTAAAATCAGAAGCAAAAATAAGTTTCTGGTATTTTTGTCAGAAAAAATTAAACGCTTCCAACCAAGAAGCTTCTCCTTGATACGACTGCCAACATTGCATGAATCCTTGTGCGAATGTAGTGGAAGCATTTTGTTTAGGCGCCAGGATTAATTATATTAAAAACACTCTCTGAAACAAAACAAATAATATATTATATTATAAATTATTATAATAATAATCATACACATGTAATAAAAAATATAACAGTATTTATTTCTAACATCTGGTACATAAAAATAACAATTTACATAGCTCATGGACAACTAATTTTAATTTATTTAAAATCTTTATAATATTTTATTTATAACGAGACTTACATTAACAATAATTATTAATTTAACTTGAAAATTACTCTTAATACCATCGTGAATGTCTAAAGTAGTGTGACACGTTCGTTAAAAAATGTTAACCTCTTTATTTATATTTTTCTAAATCTTACCCCCTTATACAAAATCCAAAGCACTCAGGGATTACAATTAATCCAATAATAATTTGGATAATTTATGTCTTTTTCTTAAAACGAATTCATGTCAGCAAATTACTAATAATTCAACTTAACCGACTGTAAAAACATTCGTGGTATCGTCATGCTGTACAGCAGTAGATAGTACGATTACTTATATATATGCGAGTATATTCTACATGTCGCTCAGTTCAATGTTTTTCACTCGTTAAATAGATAGATAAGCGATTTGCTGGGTATACCAACAAAATTCTATAAAATTGTTTTATTTTATCAGTTCTAATCGTGTATTCATAAAATCTGATAAAATTTCCCCTCCAAAAAAAGAAAAATCACTCTTTTCATTATTTTATAATAATTCTTTAAAAATAAAATAAGTCAAATATTTTGTACATTTTCTTTACTATTCGAAAAATTTATTATCGCCTTTACTATTACTTTTAATAAACTTCAAATTACTTGTGACGAGATAATAAATATTAAATGCTATGTCATTTTATATTTGTATTTCTTTACAGGTTATCCCATTATTTATGTTTTTCAAGTTAACGGGTTATGTTAAAATGTTTTTTAGTAACATAAAAAATATTAAGTAATACAAGAAATAAAATATTTTTCTCTAGTTAACAGAAAAGTTTTAAATTATGTCAGCATAAATTAATCAATTTATTATTTATATAATTGTCAATCAATTTTGTTTTCCAATTGCCAACATTTAACATATTCTTTAATATAATAGGAAAAGAAGATACATTTAGGATCATTAGAGATTAATTCAATGTTACTACGATTATTATTATAACATAAGAGGGAAATAAAAAATAAATTGTGAAATTACTTTTCTATTTTTAAAAAGTATATTTTTCAATCAATAGAGCGTATGAAATCATTATTTTTATTATTATTTTAAATGAGGAGTAATTAATAAAAGAGATGTACAAAATTTAATTTATAAATTAATGTATAAGACAACTGGACAGTGATCGCTTCCATAAACACTACTTCTTATAACATTATCGCATACTTTGTTCTTGATACGTTCAGATAACAGGAAGTAATCCAGTCTCCTAGAAATAAAATAAATTAACAATAAAAGTATATATATATGTAATTATATTTCATAACGATTATGCTTCTAATTTTTGTCTTAAATATATCTTATATAAAAATACGTAGGTTGGAACTGAAATAGTGGCAACTATTTATTCACAACCAATACAAAAGAGTTACATGTTTGCACCTGTTACTGTCCTTCAAAGTGGTCACCAGCGATTTGGAAGGCGTTGTATACCGTTAGCAGAGCCTGTTCTGTTGGTGTGAATGGAGCGGTACACTGCCATGTCTCATCCAGTGTTACGATACGGCGTAAGAAAGCCTCTCCTTCGCGCTCATAGCGCTCCAAGTGCATCTGAGCAGCGTCGTAACGCCTCCATTTCTGCATTTCCGTCAATTCATGCGGAACCCATCGTGGCATTCGCTTCAAAACTGTTCCAGAGATTCGACAGGCAGTAGACCGCTCCATTCGCACCATCAACAGAACAGGCTCTGCTAATGGTATACTACGCCTTCCAACTCGTTGGCAACGGGTTCTACACAACGCTGGTGACTACTTTGAAGGACAGTAACAGATGCAAACATGTAACTCTTTTGTATCGGTTGTGAATAAATAGTTGTCACTATTTCAGTTCCAACCTACGTATATCATTGTTAAAGACGACATATATAGGCTCTTACAACTCAAGCACGCTAAACTGAATATGTGTAAATGGAATAAATCAAAATAAAAGCAACAATTCTAAACTTACCAGCCAATATTTTTACTTCTTGCATTAGCAAAATATGACCAAAAAGTATAAGCGCCTACTTTATCTGGATATAACATCCTGAATGTATCGACAAATCCTTGATCTAAAAAGTCAGTCATACCATCTCGTTCTTCTTTAGTAAATCCAGCATTTTTTGTATTGGTTTTAGGATTCGCTAAATCTGTAGGAGATAACATTGATTTTTTTGTTTGTTAAATAATCTTTTATTTACTGGAAGTAAAGCACGATTGTACTTACCAATTTCTTGATGAGCTACATTCATATCCCCACAGATAATAACAGGTTTTTTCTTATCTAATTCTTTAACATACAATTTGAATGTTTCATTCCATTCTAATCTTTTGGGCATAGTTATCAGCTTAGCTCCAGCATTTGGTACGTCTACAAAATACAATAATTTAAAAATATATAAATTAAAGATACATTATATTCACACTTTAAGTTATTAATAATTATTAATATTAATTGTAAGAATATGATTACTTCTATACTATAATACAATATGATATGATAAAGTATAATACCTTACACATATATAAAAATTTGTATATATTATTATAAATAACTCACAAACATTCAATAAAAAAAAATTAGGATATTCTGCTGTAATTAATCTGCCCTCTTCATCCAGCTTTGAATTATTTAAACCGTATTTGATATTAATAGGTTTCTCTTTTGTATATATAGCTACACCACAATAGCCAGGTTTTTTGCCTGTTAAGAAGGTAGACACTCGTTAAATGAATTAGTAAGTTAATGTGGTATATATAAATATATGTCAAGATTTATTTTTACTATCTGTATAGTAATGATGATATCCTGGCACTTTTACTTCGCTTGGTAATTTATTAGTGTCGCATTTAGTTTCTTGCAGTGCAACAATATCTGCATTTTCCTTGATAATATAATCCATTCCATTTTTCTGCATCATAAAATATCAGTATTGAATTTTCATATATATTTACATGAAAGTATGTATGTGATCATAAAACTGTACAATAAATACATAAGTAAAATTTACCTTTATAACTGCTCTAATCCCAGATACATTCCACGTACTAATTTTTAAATTATATTTCATTCCTTCCGCATTAAGTTTATCGCAATCAAAATGAATCTCATTTAAGTTAGTGTCAATTTTATTAAGAGCTGGTTTATTATCAATTTTAGCTTTTTTAGCAATAGGTTCTTCGTTTCCATTTGCTTTACGTTTATTTTTGTAAGATAGTTCTTTCAAAGCATCGACAATAGGTTTTTTAACAGTTTCTTTAGAATTCTTAACGTCTTCTTTGTTGACTTCTTTCTTCTTTGTTTTGGTGTTATTTTTAGTAGATTTTTCAGAAGTTTTAATTGATTCTTCTGTTTCTTCTGTAGAAGATTCTTCAGATTCTTTATTAGAATCAGGATTCTTATTTAAGACTACATCAGATAATTTTTTATTTTTGGCAAGTTTACTTTTGGATGCATTAGTCTAAAATTAAATAAAAATATTTAATTATTGAGAAATGAGAATTAAATTATATTATATTAATGGATATTTTCTACCAACCTTAGACACTTTACTTCTCTTTGGTGGCATATTGATTATTTTTTGACTTTGGATATAAATTAACTTTAATATAATAAATAAATTCGATATATTAGATATAACATATATTAATAGATTAATACATTAACACATTAATACAAAAATTTCATATTTCTACATCGACAAAATAATAGTCGAATTTAATGGAGAGAAAAGAAAGAGAGAAGAGACAACGCTGAATCGCGCGGGAAATTTGATGCGCATGTGACTACATATGAAATGTAATTATGTCAGTTTCATCAATAGGTAGAAGTAAAAGTACCTGCACATTCCATATCATACTTTTTGGGTATTTTCTTGGTCATAGGGATAAAAGAAAAAGTTCCTAGCACCTAGCGTTTCCGGCGCTCAAGCTAGGGACCCTGTAGGAGGGATGCGCCATTTATATTCAGCTCATGTGCCATTAGTTGAAAATTTTGGGGAACCGCTTGAATTTATAATAATTTTCTCGTGTAACCTATTCTATTTTAATATAAATTTTTAATTATCATTAAATATAGTTCATTTTTTTTCTGTATTTAATGCAATTCATTATTTCATAATTATTTCAATGTTTGAATCATTCGCGCGCAAAATCGAGTTCCGGTCCCCCAGCAATGTACATGGCGCATCCCTCCTATAGGATCCCTAGCTCAAGCGAGACTACAGCGCACTCTAGACTAAAACTTTATTTTTTTCGGCATTTCGCGGACATTTTTTATATACAGCGTTGTTCTCCTGTGTTTCTACTTCCACCTTCTATTCTATGATTTTGTATCGTGCAAAATTCAATCTGTATAGTATGATTATACAATAAAAAATTAACCATGTGTAGACAAAATGACAAAAACAGTTAAAATAGAATAATAGAATAATAATATTAATTATTGATTTATACATAATAATAATATTTATGTGCTGTCTACATGTTTGTTATGTTTTGTTAGAAAAATGTTTGGTTCTCGAGTGATATTTTGTGTTCAAGGAAGAACTCATTATTTGTAAGTCCATATAATTAAAACGAATATTATTTCTTTTGGATATGTCATATATATATATATATATATACGTATATTATTTTTATGCAATATATCTAGTGTTCGAACTCCTCATTTGGTAAAACCACGTGAACTATTCATTAAAGAATATCATCCAAGTAGGATAAGGCTATGCAGTCATGTAAAAAATACAAAACCAAGATTAGCTTCTAATGTAGTTAAGGTAATAAAATAATGATTATACGTACAAGACTTCTCATTTATTTCTTTTATAATGTTTGAAATAATTGTATTATTTATTGAAGGTAGAAAACATTGATTTGGAAAAACTAGAACGATCAACAGTAAAAAGTCCAGAAAAATTTGGGAATTTTAGGAAAAGCGACTTATATAAGGTAAATACTAAATAATAAATAATAAATATGTGATTATTTAAATAATTTTCATAAAATTAAATTTATATATTTATATGTAATATAAATTAATTTCATCAAGCATTTATATCTCCCAGGAAAATACGCATAAAAAATGTGAAGGTGAAAATGAAGCAATAAATGATACAAAATTGATAGAAAATGAAATTTTATATAAAGGTAAAGTATTCATTAATATAAATAAATTCTCTAAATAATTACTTAATATATATGTATATTTTATATTTTTTAGATTTATCTAAACTTTACCCAGATAGCCGTAGTGCCGTAGCAAATATTTATCAAATTTTAAAGAATGAACTAGCTGATCAAAGTTTACTTCGTATACAATATAAGAGCTGCAAAATTAAAAAGAAGTTATTTTGGGAATGTACTTACTCAGTTTCTTGGCCTACAAAAAAGTCATTTACTGAAATAAAAGAATCTAAAAAGTCTGCTTCAAATGAGGCAGCATTCAAGTGTTTATACTGGTTGCATGAGCAAGGTAAATTAAAGAATAGTAAACCGATAATATACACGAAAAATGAAATACAAGCTAAATTGCACAAACCTGTTCCTATTCATTTGGATTCTGAAATTTTGAAGGAAGTTAAAGAATTGCTTCACATATACAAAGTGGTAAGTTTCAATATTATTTATATATGTAGAATATTATATTGTATGTAGGAAAATGAACAGGGGACATAAAAAAGTCTTTTAAAGTTATAGTCATTTTTGTGTTCAGTATGATGTATATATTAAAGATATTAAATTATTAATTCAAAAAAATTTCATTTGACTTTAGGATGTAAAAAATATAATTGAATCTCCTAAGTCAAGCAGTGATCTTTTTACTTTGCGCAAAAAGAATGACATAGATGTAATATTTACATCATTTCCGTATTGCTACAAGCGTAATCAGATGCTTCAAGAAAGGTTATTATCTAAAACGGTTAACGAGCACAGTGATCTTCCTATTTTGCAATATAGGTAAGACAATATATATATGTGTTTATAAATTTTTATTTACAAATTTCTATATAATAATAGTTTATATAAGTAATAATACTTCTCATTATTATTTTTAGGGAAAAAATACTAAAGAAATTGGAAAATAATAACATTTTATTAATCAGTGGTAGTACGGGTTGTGGTAAAACAACACAAGTTCCTCAATTTATAATGGATTCTTATATAAAACAGGGAAATGCTACGGACTGTAATATTTTGATATCGCAGCCTCGCAGAATTTCTGCCATTTCTTTAGCAGAACGTATTGCTTCCGAAAGAGGAGAAACTGTTGGGGATGTAGTGGGATATAGTGTACGATTACAGAAACAATATCCACAGTTTCCTGCTGGAATGCTTTTTTGTACCACTGGTATTTTATGTCAAATAATACAGAACAATCCTAATTTGAAAGGATACAGTCATGTTGTTTTGGATGAAGTTCATGAACGTACAATGGAAATTGACATACTTTTTGTTTTACTTAAAAGAGCGCTTTTAAATAATCCTTCATTGAAACTTATTATTATGTCTGCGACTATTAATACTGAATTATTTTCAAAATATTTTAATTGTGATACGATTGATGTGCCCGGTAAGATGTTCCCTGTTAAAATGCATTTCCTCGAAGATTTTAAGGATGTATTACCTAGACCAACAAAGCAAAAGAATCTGGATTTTTATGAAAATGATATAAATCAAAATACAAATATATTAACGATTGATTCCCAACAAATTGTAAGTCTCATAAAATGGATTCTTAATAAAAAATCACCTGGTACAATATTATGCTTCCTGCCAGGATGGTCAGAAATTAAAAATATAAAATTCTTACTTACGATGGATAATTCAATACAACAAAAATTGTTGATACTTCAACTTCATTCTAAATTACCGATTGGTAAACAACAGAGAATATTTGATCCAGCACCACGAAACACTACAAAAATTATTTTAGCTACAGATATTGCTGAAACTGGAATTACTGTTCCTGATGTTGTATATGTAATAGATACCACTATTAAAAATAATCCTACATGGGATAATGACAAATTTAGTATTCATTCTCAAAGAATATCAAAAGCAAATATACAACAAAGGTAATTATTAAATAATAATTTATTTATTAATACAAATATGTTATATTATTAATAATTGTTTCGTACAAGATAGTTAATTTAACTCATAATTAATTAAGATATTCTATATATACTTATTTAGAAAAGGAAGAGCTGGTCGAGTACAAGCTGGTGAAAGTTATCATTTTATAACAAAAACGGAATATAATGATTTACGCTCTAATCCAATGCCTGAGATACTATTCAGTCCTCTGGAAACAATAATTATTAATATTAAATGTCACACTGATGAGAAGTTCGCACAATTTTGTGAACATATGATTGAACCACCTAGTCGAATAGTAATACATAATGCATTAAAAACATTAATGCAATTAGATATTATTGATGAACATGAACATTTAACTCCATTAGGAAAACGATTAGCACATATTTCAATACATCCGTCTCTAGGCAAGGCTCTGATTCTTTCAACAATTTTCAAGTAAGCCAAAATAATATTATACGCATAAATTTATATTTTGCTTTGTAAATAAGTTTCTAAAACTATAAATTTATAGATAGATAGATAATCTTTATTTAACCCAGCTTTACAGCCATGTGGTGTGACTTGGTTTACATTTTTGCCTTCTCCACTCATCCATCCCATTCATTCCTTATTGCTTCTCCTGCTTGCATCATCCCTAGGCCTGTCTTTCTTTATCTTTTCACCTATTGCTCCTTTCTTCTTCCTACCCTTGTTTATGTACTTCCAAATCTCCTCTTCTGTCTTTGCGTTCCTTATTTGCTCCATTTCTTCTTCTTTCTTCTTCTCTTCTTTAACTATAAATTTATATATTTTTACAGATGTTCAGAACCTATTCTATCTATTGCTACACTTAATTCCATGGACCAAGATATTTTTGTAAACACGTTAAGTGATAAATCTTCTAAAAAAGAAGTTAAGGAGATCTATCATCAAACAAGTGATCATCTTGCTACAGCAAAGTTATATGAAGAATGGAACAAAAATTTGAATGAAAGTAATTTTAAAAGTGAATTGTTCTGTAACGAAAAGAATATTAATCCTTTCCGGATGCAATTATTTATGAGTACGTATCTATATTTATAATATATTAGGTCGAGTCATAAGTAACTTCCGATGCGGCTATGTAGAATCTATTTTTCGTATTTATCTACTCTAAGTCACCGAAACAAACTGATTTTCGATATCACTGTATAGATGAGGATTCAGTTAGTTTTTTGTCAACTTTTTTATGTAGTCAATGTTACATTTAACCGTTTTTCTTAACCACTGAAATGAATAGTAAAAAGTGCATATTCGACATGTAATGCTTTAGGAATTGAAACAAGGCAATAGCACTAAGGTAGCAACTGAAAAAATATGCAACGTTTACAGTGCAGGACTGATAACTGATAGGGCAGTCAGAAATTGGTTTGTAAAATTCCGTTCTGGAGATACAATCTTATGAACCGATGAACCGATTGCAGGACGTATTTCCGTCTTTGATGAACCTTTTAAAGGTAATATTGGAGCAAAATCCAATAGATACGTTCAACAATTGCAAAGAGTGCAAAAAAAACTCCATGAAAGGTGTCTTGCACTTATCAGTCGCAGAAACGCCATTCTTTGTCTCATAAAAAACGGAAGTTATTTATGACTCGACCTAATATTTGGATAGAATATTCACTAAACTCTTAATTTATTATTAAGTAAATTTTTTACATTTACAGAAATACGTGATATGTTTTCTAATAGATTACAGATCTATGGTATACAAGATCATGATCATAGCTATTTATATTCAGAAATGCTTCCAAGTAAAGACACATACTGTGACGAATTGATTTATGGCATTATGTTCTCTTCTACCAATAAGTTAATTCAAAAAAATGATTTTTCTTATTACAGAGGTATTTTTAAACAAAGAACTGAATTAAAAAATGAGTACGTATATAAATATTTTTTATAAAAAGAAACTATAAATGTGCGAATAACTAATAATATATTTATTTCAGGAATAATCGTGCAGTTAAGATAATGGTAGAAAGTGTAAATTATAAAAGAACATCTTGGCCTAGCTCATATTTGACATATCTTTATGGTGTTCATCATGAAAACATACCTTATATGCTGGTATATAATACTAGCATAATATCTCCCTTAACACTTTTACTTTTCGGTGCAGGTCACATACGTAAGGAAGTACGTTATAAATTTTAATTTTAATTTTGATTGTTATTAAAATAATATATGAAAAGGAAAACAAAAATGAAAATCAATTATTTTTCTATTTTTTAGCCTAATGACGATTCTAATAATCAGGAAACTATCACTCTTATATTAAGAGAACGGAAGACACTGAAGTTTTCATGTACATCAGAGTAAATATTTTTTATTTCATTTAATTTTATAAAATTTTAGTAATTATCCATTATATATAAATGTTAATTGAGAATTTTTTGCAGGGAAGTAAAAATGCTTAAATCATTCCGTGAAGTTATTTGGTCTGTAGTCGATTATTTTCTTAAAATAGATAATAATTGTTCTGGTTTGGTTAATGAATTAAATTTTATGAATGAGTACAGAACAGAAATGTTACGAGTACTATCTAAAATGTTAGATACAAGTGCTAAACAAAATAAAAACGTACAATAATAGAAATCGATGAATATTAGATGACAAAAAAAAACAAATACCAAATATCCTAATCGTATAAGTTTTCTAACATCATACAAAAACGACATCTGTATAATAATATCTACAACTGTATAATATGTTCAACCAATATTATATAATTTATTTGTAGTATAAAACAAAGAAAATCTTAACAAATAAAAATAAAATAGATATAGTAATATTTTGTTGCCATGGCTAGTTAACAATAAAAGACAAGAGAAGTGAAGTGTGTGATATGAATGTTTAATATTAAATAAATTCCTTGAGGAATTTTAATCTTTTTTTTCTTATTAAGGTCATCAAGTATATATGTATAATATACTTATTATAATTGATTAAATATTTCATGGTAAGCGTTCAAATACATTTGTGAGTCACTTTATATAAATACTGAAGTGATATAAAATATTAACAAAATTAAGTATTCTATTAGACATATAGAAGATTAGTACTTAATTAATTTAAAAGTATTATATCTATATATATATATTAAAATTTACCTGATTTATACACATTTTGCAGGTACACGGAAGCGTGCGCTTCTTATTTTTATAAAAAAAAAAAAAGAACAATTTCTGGTGTATTAAAAGATAAATAATATACAATATTATAAAAAAATTTGTTTCCATAAATACTTAAAGATAAATATTTAAATATTAATGAACTAAGAATAAATTATAATCTATAACAGTGATAAATTATCAAACAATAAAAAAAGAAAAAGAGTTTTAATTAAATTATTATTCAACTTTATATAAAATTTTCGAGAAGATAAAATATGATATATGTATATGGCAACTATTAACAACTGAACTGTATAATATTTTAATAAAATTTAACTTATTCTTTTTTAATATTATAATTTTTCTTAAATTAATAATAAACTATGACTCGTACAACAAACTCTTTATAAATTAAATCACTTTAATTTATAATGTTACTCTTTCTCTTTCTAAAGCTATTTTAAATATTTGCAGTTGTTTATTACTTTTGTTTGTTTGATGTTTGTATAAATTACATTATTCTTCAAGTAAAACATATGTCTAAAAATGGTTAAAAAGCCGTGAACTTTTCAAATAGTCTTCGTATAATAGAAAAAAAAATATTCTTTTTATTTTTAAAAATGTAATAAAAAATATTTAATAATATACAACGCGATAATATGTACTACATATTTTAAAAATCTAACATAAATGTATGAAAACAAAAATATATATATAATATAATATATTAAATTTATAAATCCTTTATAACTTAATTCACTGAATTTGATTTCATAGAATCTAGATATCAACTATTTATTGCACTTCCGGCCATGTCTAAAATAGTACCAGACATTTTCGTGAAAATATGAAATTTACTTAAAATATATATTTAATTAACATCGTAAAAATAGATTTTTTCAAATACAATTGTAACATTAATATTTCTGTTTTACTCTACTGTTTCAGTAATATAACATTAAAGCAAACAAAATTTATATCTTTCCCTTTCTTTGCTTTTTTTTTTTAGTAATACCTTGTTTATTTATTAGGACTGGGTTTTGTTATTGCATGCGTATTATTTCGTATGATTTGCAGTTCGGTTCTCGTTTCATACGTATCCTACTTCCAGTGACCCAGGGGGATCGATTTTTATTTCTTAATGAATAATACGCTTGAAACAGATTTTAAAATCTATTACTTTATATTCTAGAGAAAAAGAATTCAACTTGTTACAGTAGAATTAGGTAGCAAAACAGTAACAAAACTTTCAGTCTCGCTATCGCTAAGATTAAAATTCGTCTTTTCATAAATTCTATGATCGAAGGGTCGACAATGAGAAGAGTCCTTTGTTTTCAATTGAACACCTGAATTGGTGGTTTCAGAAATTCTTTGCAGATTTCCAAAGAAAACACTATCAGTACCGATACTCTCGGCTCCACTTTCGCTAGCAGCTCCATCGCAAATGGATTCAGTTTCATCCGTTTCAGAGACACTGCTAACTTCTGATTTCAATAATTGTTTACGTGAACTATTACTGTCAGTACTACTTATGTATCCATTATCTTCAATTTTCGTAGGTCCTGAAGATGATTTATCTGAAATTATTTTCATTGATCTTTCACGTTCTTCGAAAGAAGTAACAAAAGATAAATGTTCTTGAAACCGCGAACATTTATTGTTATTAAGATACTCCAGGTCTAATAAAGAAGTTGAAACTTTTGGAAGATTTCTGTGATGATAATATTGATCGTTATTATACCCTACTTCATAGCCATCGCTTTGGACAGGAGAGCCGTTGCTAGCCGTAGGGTCAACCGCTTCGACATTATTCCTGTCCCATAAGCCGTTTTTTGACGACAAAGTAGACGAAGAAAGGACTGCTTGTTGTTGTTGTTGTTGTTGTATTGCTCCTTCTACAGGTATAGGTGCTTTTGGAGATTGATATATATTTTCGGTTGGTGGTAATGGTACAACATCCGGTTGATTGAAATTTGCTTGTCTTTGTCTTTTAGCTTGTCTCTTTTCAGGTGTTAAGTATTTCTTTTTCTTCCATGATAAACTATCACTGATATCACTGTTTAAAGAATGACTACTGCCTAAGAAATTAGATTCCTTCAAATTCGATCTTAATTTAGCTTCGTATATTTCCCGAAGACTACCATAACCCCGTCTTTCTAAAGGATCGTAATCATTTTGTTCGAGATTATCGTCGCTACGAAAACTACCTTTACTTTTTAGTAATATCTGTGTTGGTCTTTCCAAAGAATCCATAAAAATTTCATTGATCGTTTCCTTTTCCTTACTTATCTCATCATTAATCTTTAATTTCATTGGCTTCCTATCCAAAGTATCCGGTTCGTATTCGGATTCATCTTGTTTGACATAATTATCCGGTGAATCTTGTACCTTGATTGTCAAATGTCCAGGATTTTCTGGTTCGTATTGTATATCTGGACCAGAATCGTCGCTACCAGCTGGACTTACGTATCCATCGTTCACGTAAACTTCACTCACTAAGGAATAGACTTCTGATTTTTGCGCGATTAATTCTGGCAAAGCATTGTAATAATTTTTTTCTAACACGTTCTTTTTCAATTTGGAAAGTACAGATTCACCAGTTTGACCATTGATTACTGCATTTTGTATCGTCAATTCCTCGTCCAAAGGAAGAGCCGTTGATAAAGTTGGACTCGATTGATCTATAGATTCCGGCGAGGTAGACGATTTTCTATTATATTTCAAACGTTCCAAACTGTCAACTTCGTAATCGCTCATCTTTACCGACTTCGAATAATGTTCCAATACTTTAGCGTCAACCATCTCACGAATCACAGCATCCATTATCCGTTTGGTTGTATTTTTCGAAGCTGGTAATTCTTTAATCATATCTGGAAGTCTACCTTTGGATTTAGTTATTATTTCATTAGTATTATTATCGTTCTTAGGAAAATCTTTTTCTACATCTTTTTCAGATACTTTATTGTCATTGACTTTTTCAACTTCTTTCTTTTCGATCGCAGCATTTTCTTCCATTTGTTTGATAAACGAATTTTCTATAGCTTTTCTTACCTTTTCGTTAACTATATCTTCAGCAATGAAATTATTTTCTTTATTGCTGTTATTACATTGCTCAATGTAACTCGAGTTTTCGAACATAGATTTTGTCGATCTTTTGGAGACGCTATAACGATCGTCGTTTTCTAGAATTTCACTCCTAGCAATAATTGGCTGATGAACGTTTCTTGAAATTCTTAAGATCGATGAATTGTCTTGCCAAGAGAATGAACATTTTCTTGTTTCTTTGTGAAATTCAAGGAAATCGCATTTTGCTAATTCTTTCACGTATTCGAAATTTTCGACAAAATTTTTCTTATCATTGCGACAATTCTTTTGTTCTTGTTCGATCTTTTCCAGCCAATGCAATTGATTTGGTTTAACATCTTCCAACCAAGCTCGAACTTTACTTTCACCTGGACTAGGTTGATCGTTTCTTGGAAATATCGCTAAATTTCTATAAGAGTTCGCACAACCCGGACAGCCTGTACATCTCAATGATTTCATCGACTTCGTCGATTTCGTCGATTTCGTCGATTTTGTCGCCGCATTTTGAGACAAACTCGAAATCGATTTTTCTCGTTGTCTTTGTTCTTCTTGTTGTTTCTGTTTGTTAGTTGAATTACTACGTTCCGCGTCACTTTCTTCCTCTGGAATACCTATTACGAACAAAATTTATAGCACGTGCTAATATAGTCAAAAGTAACTCAAAAAAATCTTACCAACGAGAGTAGGAACAAATTTTTTAGCAGCCATCTTATGTTTCGCGATTGAAATAACTTCACGAATTTTGAGAAGAAATTCTATGGCAGCTGGAGGTGGAGACTACAAAAATCTGAGATTAGAATCGTTCGATTGATTTAATAAAAAATGTTAAAAGCTTGAAAAAACTTACCAATAACAATTGCCTATCGAAGTATGCAGGATTGAAGTATAATTTTCTTCGTTGAGTACCTGGAAGTACCGGTACTTCTTGCTGATGAGAATTATCTACTGTTTCAACTATTCTAACATCCTCTTCGGGTAATCTTTCTCCAAGCATTGAACCAGATCCAAATACAGTTTCCGAATGGTCTAGATATACATAGCGCGGGTGAACGATTGCAGAAGTAAACTGGCTCTACAAATTCAATGCATTGTCAATATATACATTAAATGCTTTAACAGTAACACATATATTATTTTTATCATTTAAAATATAAATGTCATTATTATTTATATATATTATATGTTTTATTTCTCTATACGAACATGTTCACAATTTTGTTCTTCATCACTCTGAACCAATTCGTCTCCTAATTCGTTCTCGGTTAAAACACTGTTAGTATCATTTTCCAAGTGCCTCGATGTGATTAACAGTGGATTATTTTTGATAAAACCACCACTAATAACACTATTAGCAAGACCTTCTCTTGGACCAGGTAACGTAAGTTCTGGTTCTTCGATCGATTTTCTCTTTCCTCTTCTACTATGAAGATATAGCGATACACTAGCTACGTATATGATAGCTAGAATGACAGAGGAAAGACCAATGGCAGCGTATTCGGTAGCCGAGAGTCCTTGAGAAACTTGAGAAGTTGATGAAAATATTATTTCTCGAACGTCTGAATAAATGAAAAAAAAAAGAAAGAAAGATTCAATGAATTATTGAAAATCATCACGATTTATATTTATTTTGATAGGAAGTTTAAAATACGAACTACTTCTTGATGGCGATCCAGCGACTCTAAATGCAACGCAAGGTGCAAAAACGCCAGTATTGTTTTCTTGCGGTGATGCATCTCTGCATATAAGGTTGGCAATTACTACTCGACCTTCTGCCGCATCTCTCAATCCACTTTCACCGATCCACTGTAAACATTTGTAATATTAATAAAATAATATATTACACAAAATACTATGATAATAATATATATGAAAAGTAACCTGAAGAAAAGTTCTCCCTTCGTCGCGAAACAATCTGAACGGTGGTTCTGTATTTGATAGATTTCTTAATTCCGACCATCCTGATTTTCCTAATTGTCTCGCTCCTGTTATTCCACAAACAGGAGTAGTTACATCTGTTATCAAGAAATACGAATATTTTATGAATTATGAATGAAATTATATTGACAAAATCGCGTGTATGTACCTTTGAAACGAATTTCAGCATGCGGATAAATAATTTGACCACGCTGGGGTAGAAAAACGTATGGCACTCGTTCAATTAGACCCGAATTACTAAGAAATCCAGCAACACTGCATTCTGAAATTTGCAATAATTGTACAAGCAATTATTTTATTAATTAAAATCAACATGAATATTTGAATATTTTAGTAGGTCGATTATATTTTAGTAGGTTCATCGGGATATCGCTGTATAACCAGTCGTCATTAATTGCGACACGATCTATCATTTACGTATAGAGAGTAGGTAGATATAAAAGAGATAGCTTCCAGTTTCCTTGGCTATGTCAGGGTCGGATGGCGACGATCTTTAAGGTCGCAAGGTCAAGCGCGAGAACTTCAAATGACTCTTTTCGTTAGGCCAACTTTGCCAATCGTTTATCACTCGACAGTTATCCGATTTCCTTACATGGATTGTTCATCGTGAGCGTAGAAAGTCACAAAATAGATATGGTCTTAGTCGATTAGCATACAAGCGACACGAGCAACAGCACGAGCTTATGCTGAGAAATGAGATTTCGATTAAATTCTACTCCATCTCTTTGACGTTCATTTTTTTTTCTTTTTCATTATTTATAGCTTTAATGTTTAAATATAATAATAAATTGTTTTTCGTAACAATTTATACAATTAGCATTTCAAGACTAATAACTTTTACACATACGATGAAATTTTGTTCCAATTTTGTAATTACAAATATTCATAAAACATTTTTATATATATTACCGTGTATAGTTTGGGACGGAATCATTTATCGATATTAATGATTCTTATTAACGTTTACTGCCACGAATCCTGCTGAATCCTGTTTGGTAAAGCGGTAAATCCTGCTTGGCATGTAGAAACTTACTTCAGCCATTCAACGAATAAATAATTTGTATTCTGTGTACCTATCTACCTGCTCGTTGAGCGTACCGCTTCGCGAGAAACGGGAAAAATTTCTGTCTTGGACTTTATGCGACCGCTCAATAAAGGATCATATCGGTAAACGCGACTCGCATCTTCATCTTAATACTCTGCTATAATAAAAACTTACGGTTCGATTTAATCTAAATATATTTTATTTACATCTCTTATCTCTTATCATTACCTCGAATTAAACTAACGCTAATATAAGTATATATATGTAATATATTGTATTGCTAACACAATATTGATTATTCTAAGATAAAAGCGACGAAGGTACTTTCATCAGATAAAATAGTTTTCATTCTATGCACATTTACCACTTAACGTAAAGTTACAATGAATTGTTTGCAGAATTATTTGTAAGTCCAAGCAATTTATCTATCACTTGAAAGCTATAAATCTTCCTTCCTACATTCCAAAGTACTCTCATTGTCTGTCCAGTGTATAGCCAATCAACGTTGAAATATAGCGAGGAAGAATTAAAGAAAATAAGAAAGGAACTCGGAATATTTTCTTGAATCATCTACAATTTGAAAACTAAGGTACCTATGTTTGTAAATATGTATATAAATATGTAAATTATTTATGAAACACCCTGTGCAGCTAAAATCCCAAGACCGCATTAGAATCTTTTCGATAATAGTAAATAATCGATCGAAGATTCGAGCTTGTAAGTGAGTCGCCTTTAAATACCGCAAGTTAACCCGGCTTATCCTACCATCTTTTCTTTTTTTCTTTCTTTCTTTCTTTCTTTCTTTCTTTCTTTCTTTCTTTCTTTCTTTACCAAAGTCCTTGTTAATAACTGTAAATATTCTGTCAAAATTAGACGTAAATTTAAATGTATTATGATTTCACAAAAAACTTATATGGAATAAACAAACGATCTTTTTCCTTCCTTTTCTTATACTAATGATAAGTAAATATTAGAAATGACTAAAGTACATTTTGTATAATTAAACAAAACGAATTTGTAATTAATTTGAAAATGTACTTTTCTATGCTGTGTAGAATAATTAAAAAGGTTTCAATCTGTAGAAGATTGCACTTAATTTCAAGTTGTTTCATTTTCTTCTTTCTTTTTGTACTCTTCTGTAATTGCAAGATCCTCGAGGTACTTTCATACATACATACATACATATATCTCGTATGTTCTTTGACGACGTGACGACGACTCTATAGAAACTCTTGCCCAGACACATTTTTATACTATGATAATTAATTACTTACACTGTAATTAACATAGTTATTTATCTCTCTCTTTCTTTTTTATTTGTTGTGATCAATTTTTTTGAAATTTCTCCTGAACCGTTAACTTCACTGCAGCTTTTTTTTTATTATTATTGAGAGAGTTATCGTAGCTTAAAACAATGCTTCATTTTATTATAATATTTTGTATCTTCTATACGATACATTTTTCATTCAAAATAAAGACAAAATATTATTTGGAAAAACAAAAAAATTGTAGAAAATAAGATCTCAAACACGTTCTCACGATATATATGTATATAGATAATATTATTCGGTGAATTGACGCATAACAAAATACCTTAACGCTATGATCCATCAAGCAAAACATCCTATCGGCACACTTTGATAGGCTATTATGCGGAAACATTTTCGAAAAAATGATTTTATAGTTTTATAGTTAAATTTTTAATTGATAGTTACAGTTTCATTTATTATAAGCGGACGATCAAATTTATGAGCAAACTTTGAATAAAATTACAATAATTTAACATTGATATGACAATATTTGAAATACTTAGATATCTTGATTTCATTTATTTTTTCTCTTTAAAATATTAATCTAAGGTAAAAAGATTTAAATCGAAGTGTTGATTATGTCGTCGACCTTGAAATGATAAATTTAGAAAAATTTCTCAAGTTCTAACATCTTCCATATATTTTAACGTTAGAATTAAAATTCAAATGGTCGGCTGTCTTTCAACGAATATCTTTATAAATTCGAATTTTTACAAACCCATACACTAAATCTTTTTCTCACGATAGAAACACGTAACTATTGAAGGAAAAAGAAATATTTACGCGAGTCAGGTGGCACGTCCGTGCATAAGTGGCTAACTGTTAGATAGCATGAAATTAAGTCTCACAAGCGTAATATCTATATATGTATATACATACATATACGGACAGAAATAGAGATGTTACATAATTATGTCATTATTAGAGCAATTCCTATGTAAAGCGAGAAAGACTATTACAGTAGTTTTGAATCTTAAACGTGATTCAACAACGTGATCCAACAACGTAACACAATATTTGTATTTTAACTATTAATATTCATTTGAAGTGTATAAACATTATTTAAATGAATAAAATGATATATCCATTATATTAATGAGAGACGAAATTTTTAATAAATCTATAAATATATTCATTTTAATAATGCAAGTTAATAAAGAATTTTTTTTTTTTTTTTTTAAATAACGAATCAGTTGACTATAACTTCTCGATTGTTTAAATTTAACTAATGTTCGAGTTGTATAGCGTAAGACTGGTCCCAGGCAAGTGAAGAAATTATGAATTGATGGCTACAGTCCATGGCTATAGTCCTGATGCAAGATCAGCTATGAGGTCAGCGATTGGATCGCCAAGTATTCACCCTTAGTCTGGCAACGGACTAAGTTGCGTTCGTGCTCGATTATGATTCGGAAGATTTGCTTGGTCTCGATGCGTGCTTCCAAAGATACAGTTAACATTCTACACGCTCAATATTCTATCGCGAAAAGATTCGATTATCATCTTACATGAGATCCTACAAAATTATGCCTAACTGTATCGTATGACAAATTATTTGAAACCATTTTCACATTTTTTTTTAATAACTGTAACTTCAGAATGAAATATATTCGTTAAAATTAATACGAAAATATTACAAATTTTCACTATTTTATTTTAAATCAATAATCAATGATAGAAAATAATTTTTATATTTAAATAAAATAAAAATAATTGTTGCAAAAATAGTTTTATTTGGTTAGTATGAATATCATTATACAGTTAATGTAATTTTTTTTTGTATTGCATTTTCGTATTGTGGCGGGTAATGGGTTAAGAATAAGCAAAGTAAAAGCAAAGTTATCGTTTAATTACTTAGTAGCGTGTTAGTGATTATTTCATAATTTTTATAATGTTGCGAACATTAAATAATTGAATACAAAATATTGATTGTAAATGATTATAAGATCAATTTATCAGAAAAAGAAGATTGGAAATATGTATCCTTCTCTTTGGCTTGCGAGAAATATAACGAGGATTTAAGTATATCGCATTATACTAATCATTTGGATGCCGAAAAGTATAAGGTGGAAGGGTTTTTCGAAAATGTACCTCCCATCCTAATTCTACGTTTCGAAGACCTCCGTCGCATCGATATTACCGTTCGGTTTCGATATCAACCCAACCTGAAGCATCTCAAATTGTAAATCAGTGTCCAATTAGTTGAATCAACCTCAAAGAAGGTGAACAAGAATGCTGAATAATATCGATACCTTCTCTTTGAATTAATTTCAGCATTACCGTTAATCGTACGTTCTTTATGTTAGTTAAAAAATACGTCCACCTTGAAAAAGAACGTGTCAGTGATAAGATCTTTTCACTTATTTTCGATCATTTTGTCGATTAAAATGATTATAATTATAGAGGGAAGTGATATGTAATTGAAATTCGACAAAAAATACCAAAATTATCTTAATGAATATCAAGTTTATAGTATATATGCTTATATTATGTAAATATTTTTGCAAATTTGCTATTATTATGAGTCAAGAATAAGTTTTCGACAAATGTTGAACTTTTTATCTTTCAACCAATGTTAAATATAATAATTATATTAAATAAAGAGAGTTTGAAAATAATATTGAATTTGGTTTTAATAAAAATGTAATATATAAAAGTTGATAATTGGAAATTTAATGAATACTTATTGTCAACTTTTGTTAATTCTCGAGTGATAGGTAAAACATATTTACGAGCTAACGAGACGAGATTAAACGCGTATATTTCGTGGAAACGATAGTCTTTTAAAAGGCAAATTCATGCGTGGTTCTCACTCATGATGATCGTAATTTTTTAACTTAGCCTTTTCATACAACGATCGTAAAGCTTTTATTTATGTATCTTATTAAGAAATGTTCGTCGATAGGATCGAAACATCAACGATCGTTACGTCATTTTCATTTTGTCGAGTTGGAAGGGAAAATTTGCAAAAATGATCTATACCTTGACTTTGACCTTGGATAAACTTGTATCCCTGGCGCTCTTTCTCTCGTTGCATCCTTTGTATGCAAATGTCATGGCATTGAAACGAAGATTCGATCGTATCGTGTCGGAATATGGCCAGAAGGCGTTTCGAGAAAGAACACGATGCGAATTGTTGCTTGTTTTGCTCGAACAGTTGGAGCAATCATTTTCAATGACGCGCTTCGATTGAAAACGGTACATATGAAAACGAAAAATGTCAAGAGAAATAAGGGGACAACAATTCCTTCTTCTTTTCCTTCCTCTCTAAAGCCCTGCATGTACCAATATAAATGCAATTTTTCTATGTTAACTATTGTAACAACATTTAAATGTTAAAGTATTGTAAAAAATGTGATATCAAATTAGACCTAAACATACTTATTCAATCATGTTTGATGAGAGTGCAATATTCGAAGGGAAAGAAATGATACTTCTTTTTAAAACTTAAGGTTGTTATATGCATAAAGAAGATGAAAGGGTTACTTCCATATTATTGCTTTCTTTGGCGGTACGCGTAATTCAGATCGCCGTTCAAATTGTTCCTCTCTCTCTCTCTCTCTCTTTCTTCTTATCTTGTTGTATAATTTATCTAAATTATTAGGTTACAGGTTGTTATTTCTTTATGCATACACTTTCAGGGTGTAGTCTTGACGAGTTTTCAGATTTCATAGAATAAAAAATGGATTTTGTGTCTTCACTTTAATTTTTCTAATTAATATATATATATATACTAATAAGCAAATGAATCTAAGAAAAAATATTTGAGTTTCATCGATGACCGATAATAATTAATGAAAATGATGTTACCTGTTATTATATTACCCTGACAGGACCTGTTATTAATTTGAAAATGATCTTTTTCTTTTTTTCAAATTTGACCGCTTAACGCATGTTTACGCATGTTTACCAATGAGCCAAACTTTCTCTTGGCTATTTCGTTGAAAGAGAAGGTATCATTATCAAAACGCTGTGTCGCACAATACTTACTCGAAAAAGAGGGATGCTAGAAGGCTTTTGAAATTCATTTTTCATGTTCATATAAAAGCAAAAAAGTAAACGCACGTGTAAGAGGAGATCTTGGTTTTAATATTACATGTAATAAATCATTTACGTGTGAACGGACATTGAATGTTCTTTTGGTAATACGACAGTTAAATATATATTATATGTACAGGTACCTTTTTTGGTTACTGTCACTTGATCGCCATCGATCAATGCAAATTGATGTTGAATATTGAAAATCTTTATATTTTGGTTTAATTCAATAATTTGTCTTACCATGGATATCGTTGACGCAAATTTGTAAATCTTCCCGGAAAATCGGTAGACTGTCGTTGCATTGACAGGAACAGGAAGTGTTGAATGGCGAAAGAGTTAACGTCGAAGGATTGCTGGATAAAGATCTGGAGGTTCCGCTGCTGAGCACTGTACAAGTTTCTGTACAAGTACCTACCAACAAATAAATTATACTCTCTAACGCCTATCAAAACATTGACTTTATCAATTCAAACATAAACACTTTGTTAACAATTCATAGATGAATTGAATAGTACAAAAGAAAAATGATATTATATTATTTATTTCAATTTTATATGGAATTTTACTAATAGAAATATTTATATTAACAGTTATTTAATAATAATTAATATGAAGAATTTCGTTTTATGATTACCTTCGAACGTAAAGATGTCTCCATTGGAATGTCTGGTAACCATAAATTCCAGGCCATGAGCAAAACGCAGAAGATCAAAAAGGCTCGCTAGAACGAGCGCTAGGAGACGCATTTTACTCCCTGCATTCTAAAGAAAAATCATAGAGAATGAGAAAATTAACTATTTTGTTGTCTATATAAATAAATACACAAATAAATAATCAAGGAAAACAATAAAAATGCGAACGAAAAGTCTTAAAGTCTTTAGTAAAAAAGAGATAAAAAAAGAAACATAAATTTGTTATGGCGAGAATACTGAAGGCTTCCAATTAAACGTGAGAGAGAGAGAGAGAGAGAGAGAGGGGGGGGAGAAGGACCGAGAAGACTTTTTTAACGATCGATAAATCCTCAAAATTGTCTCTTTCGATTACGTTGCACTTTAATTCCTTTCTCGTAAAAAAAGTGTCCATTTTTGTGACGTTTCTTGTCTATACAGCCACCGTATTTTATTCACGACCACCTGACTAATATGACACTTGTTAATTTATTTATTTCTATTTGGTGACATCCGTCTATAATAAAAATGTAAATTTATAAATTTGTAGAAAAGTAAAACTTCCTTATAGTATTACGACGCGTGACGAATTATTATTTATTATAAATAAATTGTTCGTCGCACGCGATAGCTTTGAATAATAATCAAATGCATGATGGACTCTTTTGAAATTATTTAATATAAATTTACAATAAAAATGTATTTTAAGAAGACAATACTGGACATATAAGAGTACTGATTTTACAAAGAATCGTATTAGGTAAGAAGAAGAAATAAATTTGGATAAAAGAATTTAAAAGATGTGACTTCTTTGTAGGTTGAACGTAACCGGTAAAACAAGTCACCGAAGACAAACTTGTGTCTCTATGTCCATCTTTTTTCCTCTTTTCTTTTCATCAAATTACTCTTAAAAGAGATTCCGATACTCTGCTAATGATCGTTCGCGCGCGTGCTCAAACTTTTGAGCACTTTCTTGCTATCGATTCATCTTTCGATTCATATTTTGACGAAGATAATGAGTCGATTAATTATCACTTTTGCCACTTTTGATTCTGGATGATTAAGGTGATTCCTAAATTTGTTGATCATTCTAAGAACTTGCGCAAATTGGCGCAATATCAATTATTCATGTATCACTCGGATAAAACAACTTTTTGGATGACATGTATATTATTATAATAAATCACTTTTTAAATTTAAAATACGAAAATAGGAGAGGACAGAAGTAGGACTGAAAAAATATGACAAGATCTCACGTAATAAATCTGTCAACATATTCGCGAAAATTTATAAGTCCGGAACTTTTATGATGCTTACGGCTGTTTAATTGCAACACGGTGAGCTTCATATTTTTTTTTTTGCTAATAAATTTATGCATTCCTTTGCTTCGAAAAAAAAAATTCAAATAATAATTGTAATATAATTGCTACATTATTATATTAATGGTTATCATTTGGATTTGTATTTCTAAACCTATTACTAATAATAAGAGGAATATTAATAAATCATGTGTGTCAGAAAGAGGATAAATAATTTTCATACGTTAAGAGAGTTGTTCTGGTTGTTCCGACGAGATGAGTGTCTTGTTATCATCCAACACGTATCATTTTTAAGCTCGTTCGTCTTCCAAGTGATATCATCAACGCTCTTTTCTCGTCATTCGAACGAAAAAATAAAATAAGACGGTAGAAAGGGAAGAGAACTGCTTTCTTTCTTCTTCTTCTTTTTTCCTCTTTCTCTTCCCGTTTGAAAAGTCAAATTACAAGATACCGCAAAAACACTTGCCTGCCATTCACAATCAGAATTAAAGGATGGAGGCAAAAGGGTCTGGCATGTCAAGAAAAGTACTTTAATAATACTTTTTTTATTCTTTCTTTTTATTATCTTCTGTCAAGAAGGGGAGGAACCCAAATCATGATATCTTAAGATTCCTTGAAATGACATAACAAGATATTTGCGCAAGTTTTTCTTTATCTTATCCTTAAATCGGTCCTAAGTATAGTCCAGGAGAACGACCAATAGGAGATCAGATTTAATTAATGATACACATTAACATTATAATAGTTCGTAAAATTGAAGAATTACGATCGTTTTAAGGGTCCTGGCTTTAAATGTGCTGGAATTTCGAGCTTTCTGCTCGGGATTTACAGTTAGATTAACTCAAAGTACGTCAATACAAAATTTCATTATTTTTGCGTGCATTAATAAAACGTTGAAAAATTGTAAGATAAGAAATATACATTTTTATACTTGCTTAAAGTTTTGTTTATACTTAACAAATGTTTATTTATTTATATCCGTAGGAGTATCGAAAAAAAAAGTTTGACAGATTTATCCAACGACGTAGTAGAACAATACCCTAACCGTTAGACGTTTCACGAAACTACTCGCTCAAGAGTATGTAAGTGTATGTGTGTAGGTAAGTATGTATATAGATATGTACCGAACTCAAAAGGCCATTATATCTATTCAAGAAAATTTTGTCTACGCCTCCTATCCTTTTATTTTGTTAACTTTCTACTAAAAAAAAAGGCCTACATTTTTGGCCCAATCAGATAGAAAAAGATATATTTAGACAGAGATAAAGAGAAATTAGCGCACAATGAAGTAAAATATAAAATTAAATAGGCGAATTTTATGAAAATATCGGTAAATTATAATAAGTATGGTTGGAATACACATTGCACATTGGAGATTAAGCTCAAGTGCAAAAACGAGCCGCGAAGCATAAGTATGTAAATGAGCTCAAACACGATATTTAACGGTTGCACATGCAAAATCGACCGATCATTATCGTTCCTCTGAAATCGATGCCAATGAACTCGTAATCCGCGTGTGTATCATTTTGCATTTTCAGCTCCTTTTCAGTCGACTCGTGCGTTCTTATCGTCCCTTTTTTTTCCTTTTTTCTTTATTAGTATTTTATTTGTATATTTTTCAAATTACTTACTGGGCGTGTACAATCGCAAAATAATGTAATATATATAAACCAAAATGATACCTAATGAGTTAGGTTTTTTTTGTCTTGTATATTTTACGTTATATCGTATGTCATCGAATGGATGCATTCAAAAAATATTTTTCATCAATTTTTAGTCGTAATGTAATTCAATATAATAATAATTTGAAGTTTCTTTTATATTCGGGATCTTCATAGATATTTATTCTTTATAATAATTAATATAGGTTTTTTTTTTTTATATACAGAGTAAGAATTCATTTATAAAAGAAATTCGAAAGCCACTGTTTTAACGTACAAATTACATGATACGTCTTGAAAATCGGTTGATTAATAGCCACTGGTTTAATAATCATCATTATCGGGTTTCCGAACTTGCATCATTTCTCTGTGATTATCATAAGTCGATGAACAAAAATCGATTTTTTTCTTCAAACTTTCCGATCAACCTCCAATAACCAAACCTATATTCAATTAAGCGTGACCGTTAAGCATAACTCAAATTGAAATGAACGAAATTAAAAATAAAAAGGTTTAATAATTATCGTCTCGTTAGATTTCATCGTCTAAGGAAAGTTTCAAGAAAAATTGAGAAAGGTAAAGAGAGTTTCCTTTCTCTCTCTCTTTCTCTTATATTATAAAAAAAAGAAAAAGTATAGGTAAACGCGTAGGGAGAGACTCGCGTTAAGTTCGACAGTCAAGTATGCTCGAAAGAGACGTCTTGTATGTATATGACTCGAAGAACGAACAGTTTGCTCAATAAACGGATGGTCTGTTTGTATGCCAACTATACACCGAGAAAAAATATATACTTTTTATCATTTTTCATCATTTTTTATCATTTATTTTTAGACTGCGAATTTCTCATTTATTACACCTTAAAAAACATAATATATATATATATACATATATATGCCCGTAATTATGAAAATGATCTAAGTCAAAATTAAAAAAAAAAAAGTTTATCAGTTATTACGCACCACATTATTTTAAACTAAATAAATTCAATGTAATTTTCACGATATTATCAAAAATGAATCGTTAGATAATGTTTGTTATTTCAATATTATATAAAATTCATATAGAGTGTTCAAATGTAAATCTTGAAATATCTGAAAACAAGAGATATATGACTTAGACCACTTTCATAATTATGGGCATATATACTCTACTTTAATTGTAAAAATTAAAGTATTATTATTATTCTTAGTATAATAATTATATTAGAGTATAGGCAAGTATGTATATATATTTGTGCGTATATTGGCGAGTACAAAAATGTCTGATAATAATTAGATGGAAAAAAGACACGAGAAGAGGGCTATGCTTTGAATAAAATCCTTTCTCGTCTCGAGTTCATTCATCTTTCACACTCAATTTCATCCTGCCCAATACCATATACTTTGCATAAATAGATATGTACCTAAGTACGCATATACATAGGTGTAAATATATATACAATATATGTCACAAAGAATAATTGAAAATATTCGAATCATCCATCGAAATAAATCTTAAAGACAGAGATAACGGATCTTTTGAAGTTGGTTTAACAAAATCCAACTCTGCATCCGATTCATTAGTTTCGTTTCTAATACCCATAAGAAAGAAAAATTATAGAATTTGAACTGTCTTCGAATGAAATGTAATATCAGTATTTCGTGAACAGTAATTTTGGATTTTCAAGAACAAAGAGGAATTCTAAAGTTTTGAGCATATAAGTACAGTTACTTGCACTATAATAGTATAATAATTGTATTCTAGATGAACGTATATGCTCACATAATGAAACGAAGTACAGACCTAGCGTTTATATTAAAACTCTATCAGCTTAATAGCTAATGACGGAGAAAGAGAAAATGACCAATTCGAAATAGAAAGGATACGTACCATCAAGAATTACAGTTGAACATAGGCTATGTGCATATCTAAGTATATCTAAGCGCAGTTGCGCGTAGTTGTGCGCAGGTGTGCACAGTTGAAGGATTACGAATAACTCGGATGCCCTAAGCACTTGTATTATATTCTTCGTCGTTCCTAAGCGTCTGACACGCTCGATCATCG